CGTTCGCTTCTGCGAACATCTAGTTTAACATCTAGTTTAAACGCAGCTGAGTACTGCCTCCTCGCATTGCTAGACATATTCAGTGAACGAAAAAAAAGGCCACTAAAAATGCAGCGCAATGTCAAGCGGAGCGAAAACTCAGAACAGATCGGAAGCAAATCATGAACACAAAGAAAACAGACGGAGAAAAAAAAAAAGACTGCGATTGGATTTGGATGCGGATATGGCCGCATCCAGATTCACAAGCACATGCAAGTCACATGTTGCCAGACAGCGTCGCACTTTCCGCTAGACACCGCTATATAAGACGAGGGGCGACTTTAGCTTATTATTTCATTGAAAATATCTCGACTTATATTCCCGTTTATACGGTATTTTCTTTTACAGGGCGTTCCACTTGCCCGCGATCATGTCTGCCGTAATTTCAGTCAACGCCATATTGCTGCCGCACACCGATGACAGTTTCATCAGTGCTCGCGTCAACTCCGAGCTCGTTGGCTGTGTAGGAGATGGCTCTCCGTTCTCGGTGTCGGAATCCTCTGTAACTTCACCAATGATTTCGTCATCCGTCAAGTCCGCAGATAGCTCGAGGTCTTTGTCAGTGTTGGCAAAGCCCTCAAAGGTTATGCAGGCTGGAATCGACACGCCGACAGCGCACAGGTTGTCGAAGGCAACATCTGCGGATGGCAGTTTGTCACACAGGCTGTCCACTTGCAGCGAGACAGCAGTCTCGGCGACGAGTGTCAAGCTCGCGTGGTGAAAGCAGTTCCGCAGTCTCTCTTGCATAACCGCCTTGCACAATTCCGCTGGCATGCTGACGGCAGACCTAAGGTCAACAGCAAAGCTTTTCCCGTTGTCGGAGCAGAGCACCACGCGGCTGAGCACGCGTGATTTGTAATGATGCTTCAAGTTCCAAATTATGCTTTGCTCCATCGGCTGCAGGATTGCTGTGGTGTTCAGCAGCAGAAATTCAATCCGTATAGCCTTTAGATCCTTGATGTGGCCATGCGCAGCGCAGTTATCCACAAACAGCACAACTCTTCGATTCTGCTGCATCTGTCCAGCTTGCGCACGTACAATTCGAATAACTGCTGCGTTACCCACGCCTTCTTGTTAGCTTTGTAGACAACAGGCAGAGTCACTGTCCCCTTGAAACATTTCGGATGCTTCGACTTGCCTATTACTAGAAACGTAACTTCTGCTGCCTGACATGTTGCTGCCAATGAGGACAGTGAGCCGCTCCTTGCTCTGTGTCTTGCTTGTAACGTGTCTTGCTTTTGCACTGCCGGCTTTTGCACTACCAACTTTTTCTGCCTCTCACTAAAGGTCTAAAATTTCCAATAGGTTCTGTACACCATCAGGGTAAACCATGTGAAGGTGCTGACACCCTCTGTAACTGTAAAGTTGTTTGCGCCGCGTGGCGCACGTGTCTCGCCCACAAGCCGCATTTCAGGCTACAACCATCGGGCGATAGATGTCGTCGTGTTCGCGATAGTTGGCCACCACCATTGTCATCATCATCATGGTGTAGCGCCGGCGGTGACCCCTGGCGGAAGCAAGCCTTGGTAGCGGGCAGTGAGCGAGTCTCTTCGGCGCTTGGCGGTTGCCGCGAACGGTTGCCCCCGCGCGCCGGGGGCCCTTGTGGCAAGTCTTGCGTCGGCGACGCTGCCTTGGGTGTGTTATTAGTTTTTCGTGTTAATGTGTGTCACGTTTTAGAGTGTATGAAAATTGTGTGTAAGAATGTCTAAGGGGGTTGATCACGACTGATGTATCATTTGGCAGACAATGTCGTCGTCTAAATTAGTTAAATAAATGTATGTATGTTGTTTGGTCTGTACTGACCGCGTCTTCTGTGTCCGTTCTCTCCAAGAGCATAAGCATAGCGCTCTCTCGCCATTTCAAGACCCTACACTGGCTGCCCAACGTGGAGCTCTTGGAGTATCGGACGACAGGTTTTGAGGTTCAGTACAATTTTTTGTTTGAGCCGGGGAAGAGTAAGCTAGGGGGGACTTCTCATTGCTAGCGTCGGTGGTGTGCTTTCTTGACAAGCGAGGAGATCGATTTGTAACGTGTTTGAATTTGTCTGCAGGTTAAAGTTTTTATTTATTTTTTTTGCTCGTAAGTGTTGTTCTTTTTTGTTGGTGTTAGTTTTCAAAGCCGTTGAATTGGGACGAGAGCTATGCGGTCTGCATCCTGGGGTAAGCAAGGCCTAGATCACGTGGTTTGTAGGCCAGGCCCGAAGCGAGTGAGTACGAAAGCCTCCTGGGTGGTCCGATTTTCTGTGAATAGCTGCTTCCATCTCTTTGGGCTCAGGCAGCCGGGTGTCGTGACACCGCCCGAGGCGGTGGAAGCCGATCGCTCGGTAGGCTGCTGTGTGCGGCGAGCGATAGGGCTACCTCACAGAGTGGATGTTTCCTCGCGGCTGCCTCTGCTGCGCCTAGGCTGGGCGCTGGGTGGATGCCGATTGTTGCCGAGCGACTCATTAGGCCTAAGGCTCTGCGCAGCCGCCTGTCGCACGTGGCACAACCAGAAAGATCGCGGCGTTGAGGAGTTGCTCGTTGCTTCCCTCACTTTTTTTTTTCATCTTGCGATGCACGAGTCAGCAAAAAGGGATTTTTGTTTTAATTTGACGGGCGTCTAGGCCGCCGCCGATGTATTAGCTAGCAGTGCTGACCATCGAACCATGTGGCCGAAAAGCCCGAAGCTCCCTTCCCTAGGCTCTGCTCCATTGTTGCCCTCGAGTGTTTTGAAATGTACGCAGCGGGAGTGATGCAATCCACGGCTGACTGTCTTGTGCACATCGTCAGCGACACTGGCCAGGAAAGCGGTCGGGAGGTCGGGCGAGCGAGATGCCTGGGACCTGCGCAACTGCCAGCAGTCCGGAGTCCTCGTGAGTGCTGGTCGCAACTAGAAGACGTGTCGGCATGAGTGATGGTTCGTCGTGCCGACGGCAAGGTTGCTGTTGCGGGACCGGTACTGAGGTGAAGTCGAGCCGGACAGTGCAGCAGTGTCGACCAGCGGCGGTGACGTAGTGCATGGACATTAGGAAACATGCGATTCCACTTTTTGGTTAAAGGTTGTGTAGCTAACTTCCTTGTTTTTAGGAATGTGGCTTGAATTAAGGCTGGGGAGATGTGGGGGTGCTGACACCCCCTGTAAAGTTGTTCGCGCCGCGTGGCGCACGTGTCTCGCCCAAAAGCCGCATTTCAGGCTACAACCACCGGGCGATAGATGTTCTGTTCGCGAGAGTTGGCCACCACTATCGTCATCATCATCATGGTGTGGCGCCAGTGGTGACCCCTGGTGGAAGCAAACCTTAGTAGCGGGCAAGAGTGGAGCGAGTCTTTTCGGTACGTGGCGGTTGCCGCGAACGGTTGTCTCTAGTGCATGGTACTGCGGCCCGCGGGCCGGGGGCCCTCGTGGTAAGTCAAGCGTCGGCGACGCCGCCTTGGGTGTGTTATTGTGTTTTTCATGTTAATATGTTTGTCATGTTTTGGAGTGTGTGGATATTGTGTGAAAGGATGTCTTAGTGGGTTGATCACGACTGATGTATCATTCGGCGGACGATATCGTCGTCTAAATTAGTTAAATAAATGTATGTATGTTGTTTGGTCTGTACCGACCGCGTCTTCTGCGTCCGTTCTCTCTAAGAGCGTAGCGTAGCCCTCGCTCGCCAATTCGAGACCCCACAACCAGGACTTAAAGATTGTACCGTATTTACTCGCGTAATCCTCGCACTCGCATAATTCTCGCACCCCCCACATCGCCCAACAAAAATACCATTTCTCTTTTTCCTCGAGTAATTATCGCACCCCAAAAACTGCGACAATAATGTCGTCTGCTCGTTCAAACCACTGATGATGATAGCGCACGCCATCTCTTAAGCATCAAGCGTACTATTATTGCACAGATATTCAATCCAATCCAAGCCAAGCCAAAGTGGCTAGTGTGCATTGCAGCGTGTTTTGTATGTTGTTACGGTAATCTTGCTACATTATAGGGGCAATACTGAAGCTACTAGGTTGCTTTCAAGTTGAAAGTGATTGATCATCATGTAAACAACTGGCAACAGGGCCGCCGGTAGGCCTTTCGGAGCATACTGGTTTTGTATTAGCTACGTGGTGACGGCAGCTGAAAGCCACCAAGAGGCGTTGGGCCTGCCGTGTGCTTAAAACTGGGACTGATGGTAAACTTTATTTTTTCAGAAGGGAACTGCGGACGATTCTGTTAAATAGTTATCAGCCCAATACTGACGTCCTACGCTTACCTTTTGAGGGCTCCAGTTGAGCAAAGAACGCTACTGCCACGCCCGCAACGCCCAGAAGTATTGCGTGTGGTATTCTAATTCTCGACTATTTGCTTGCACTTTTTGTGTCTCAAATAAATCTTGCCTTGTGTTGAACGTGTGCTTTTATTGTTGAGGTAAATTTTAATTAGTAGTTCTCAAAGCTTGCTGTTAGTTGCTGGTGTGAGAATCCCGATTTGCGGCCACTTCGTTTTTTTTTTTTTTTTTTTTTTTCGCTGTGAACCTTTTCGTGGAAAGATTTCCCCGCGTAATTCTCGCACCCCTCAACTTTGCATCGGTTTTCCGCCAAAAAAGTGCGAGGATTATGAGAGTAAATACGGTAGTATGGTATGTGTTTAATTAGCAATTCATAGCTATGATAAGCATCTTATGAAATAAACAGCCAAGGAACAGCAGTCACCCAAAAAGAACCAACATGAGCACTAACCACAACAACCGCCTTCTTCGTCATTACTCTACAAGTAATCACATTCGTCACCATAGTAGTAATCAATGTGATACATTACAAGGGCATCCAGTTGTGTATAATTCAGAGAACCAAGTAGTACCTAATTACTAATTTATACTTAATTCCTGTTTTGTCTCGAATTTTTTTTGCAAGAAGTGTACTCTCAACGGCCAAAAGGAAATCCGACCAAATGTTCTGAAACTTCCTTTCTGTAGAATAGTGCTTGTGCGTTGCGGATGCCCTTACCGTGGTGTTGAAGGCTGGCCGTGCCTGCGTTGAAGATGACGTAGTTGACATCTGGGTCACCTCGGTGACTGCTGCTCACAAACAGTTGCGCATCCTTGACAGAGACACGCAAGTGACCATGGTACTTGGACATGATGTTTCCGTCCGAATCCTGCAATGACAACACCACGATAAGGACTAAATCCAGATTACTTATTTATTTATCAATACTGCAACTTCCCAGAGAGGGTTTTAGCCAAGAAGAAACAAAATATGGACAACACTTCAGCCTTGCCCTGACGAGCTAAACGTGATGGCATAATCAGGTTCAGTATGCATCGCCTTCACCTACGTCGCAAGAAAAGGCACGTTCGTGAATGTAATATTGGCCGTTTTAGACTCTCCTAGGATGTCTAGTGGACATACACAGTATGCTCGAACTACACTGTAACGAAATTACATCTTACACAAAAATATCTGAAAATTTGTTATAAAAATATATTCCTAATGCCAAATCATATTTCATTATATCCGAGTTCGTTATACCAAGGTTTCAGAGTAGAATACGTTACAGCGAATGCCATTAGGCAGCGATTTACACCAAGGCTAGTCTTGTGATAATATTTAAATGCTTTAAATATTCAGATTAATATAACCACATTCAAATTAGGTTCAATTCAAATTTATATTATAGAAAATTTCCAGGTATATTCGAAACGAACAGATAAGTGTATAAGTCGCATGTAACCTCCTGAAAAGATAGTTTCACAGTAATAAACGGTTCCTAAGCCGTGAAAATGCCTAGCTAGAAGAAATTTGCCCTGCTGCAAAGCCTCATTTAGAAGTTAAATGAACATATAACTCTCACATATCATTTTTTTAATTCAAAAGGTTGTTTACGGGCTTATATGCTCTAAGTATAATAAATTTCAAAAAGTAACATATTTTACACGTTATCACTTGCATTGTATTGAAAGTGAAGTCCTGCTACTATTCCAAGTTTTTTTCTCTTTGTATGAACCAAAAAGAATGGCATATGTACAGGCCTTCTTGAAGTATTAAAAAAAAAAACATATTGTGCAGGTTAGTTGGGTCATGACAAATATTGCCACGTTCCATTTCCCAAGTTTTTGTTATCGTCCCAAAACACCCCACGATTCTCAGCGCAAACCGCGCCTGCAGTCTTCGAGAAGGTTCCGGACTGTAGTCAATCATTTCGATAAGATCACGCCCACTGTGCGAACGCTACAAATTGTTCTGGAACCTACGCCACCGCCAGCGATAACGCTAGAACATTCGACAGCAAGAGTATAAATGCCGACGCGCTTCGCCGCTTGTCAGTTATTGATCGAAGGCCGACGATCCGTTCCCCGCTATCAGTCCGAGACTGCTATCTGTGCAAGACTACTGCTGTAATTGGACTTTCCGCTTACCGGGCACAGGTTCGCCCAAATAAACAGTTAAATCCCAACACGAAGTCTCCTGTCTTCGGCCACGTCACGACCCCGTGACATCTGGTGGAGCTGCTGCTTCGTTCATGTACCGGACGCCCCCGTCAAGCCGTGAACCCAGCCCACGTCGGGGAGAAGACACCGACGCCAACCAAGAGCAGCGAACAAGCCGCCGACAGCAAGGTCTCCCACCGGAGTACGGGCTTCTAGAAGACAAGGCGCGGAAGGCCAAAGCCATGACCTCTACTGCAGCGACAATGACAACCGGAGCGTCCCAGCCCGCGATCGTCATTCATCAACCCATTGATTGATATGTGGGGGTTTAACGTCCCAAAACCACTATATGATTATGAGAGACGCCGTAGTGGAGGGCTCCGGAAATTTTGACCACCTGGGGTTCTTTAACGTGCACCCAAATCTGAGCACACGGGCCTACAACATTTCCGCCTCCATCGGAAATGCAGCCGCAGCCGGGATTCGAACCCGCGCCCTGCGGGTCAGCAGCCGAGTACCTTAGCCACTAGACCACCGCGGCGGGGCCATTCATCAACCCAGGGAACCACCATTTCATGGGTCATCGTTTGAAGACCCGGAAACCTGGCTAGAAACATATGACCGTGTGGCCGCCCTCAATCACTGGGACAACGAAGAAAAGCTCCGTCGTGTGTACTTCTACCTGGAGAAACCGCAAGGACCTGGCTAGAGAATCGCGAGTCCACGCTCCGAACGTGGGATGTCTTCTGCGGCGCATTTCTGCAAACGTTCGCGAGCGTCGCTCGCAAAGAGAGGGCCGCTGCTCTACTAGAGACCCGGGTTCAGCTACCAAATGAGAAGGTTGGAATTTTAACAGAGGAGATGACCCGCCTATTTTGTCACGCTGACCCAGACATGCCTGAGGAGAAGAAAGTTCGTTTCCTCATGCGAGGGGTCAAACAGGAGCTCTTCGCGGGACTAATGAGGAATCCACCGAACACCGTCCAAGAATTTGAATCCGAGGCGACCATCATCGAAAAAACCCTTGACATGCGCACCAGACAGTATAATCGTCGCCTGACTCCAGAATGTGCTGCTGCTCAAACCAGTGACTCCGAAAACCTGCGTGAAACGATCTGAGCGATCATGCGGAAAGAGCTGCGCAAACTGTTGCCTTCGGCGCACCCTCAAGTGGATTCGATCGCCGACATTGTGCGAGAAGAAGTTCGGCAATCACTTCGAATTCCCCAAACACCGCTGCCCGAGCCAGAAACTATGAGCTACGCCGCTGCAGTGCGCCACAACGCTCTTCCCCGTCCACGCCAAAACGCCGCCCGTCGCACTTCCGTCGCCAAACACCACCGCCGCCACCACCCCCACCGACGACCTACCGTTCACCAGCGGGCCAGTGCAGTGCGCCAAGAAAAACCGACGTTTGGCGCACCCTGACCACCGCCCACTGTGCTACCACTGCGGCGAGGCCGGGCACACTTACCGCCGTTGCCAGTACGACAGATGAGACTGCGTGGCTTCGCCGTCGATGCACCACGTCCGCAGCCAGGGGAACGGCCACGTGACATCGCCGACTACCTGACAGGAACTCAATGGACACCCCGAAGACCTTCCCGCTCGCTGTCGCCCAGCCGCCGCATGTCACCGCACCCCCGGCAGTACTCCGGCCCAACGCGGGGCCGGTCTCCTAGCCCGTATCGGGAAACTAAGGGCAGCAACCGGTGGAGGTGCGGTTGCTGTGCGACGAACTACCAAAGATCCTCCGACGACGATGACGCCGCGACGGAGCTTTCCGAACACAATGCCAACCAGACAAAGCCCTGGCGGCGAAAGCTCACTTACCGGAGGTGGCCTGACGACGCAACATGGAAGCAGCAGAACAAGCCGACGCAGTCGTGACCCGACGCCACGCCCTAACTGTAATGCGAGACGGCGAACTAGCGACATCGACGTTCTTATCGACGGCCACAGTGTGATCGCTCTCGTCGATACTGGAGCCGACTATTCCGTCATCAGTGGGTCGTTCGCCGCGAAGTTAAAGAAAGTTAGGACAGCTTGGAAAGGCCCTGAAATCCGCACAGCCGGAGGTCATCTCGTAACACCTGCAGGAATCTGCACAGCGAGAGTCACCATTATTGGCCGTATTTATCCTACAGACTTCGTAGTCCTACAGCGTTGCTCGAGAGATGTCATCCTTGGCATGGACTTCTTATGCCTCCATGGTGCTGTCATCAACCTAAAAACAATGTCGATAACGTTATCCACAGAAGAAGCACTACCACCGCGCACGCCGTCAGGACACCAAGCCTTGAATGTGCTGGAAGAACAAGTCACCATTCCGCCTCGCTCAAGCGTCATTATTTCAGTCGGCGCTCCAAAATCACTTGACTTGGAAGGCGTCGTTGAAGGCAGTCAGCATCTGTTGGTCACCCGAAACGTGCGTGCGGGACCGGCGGAAACAAAAGCAGAAGATTGTCGACAGCAAAGCTTCACGCAAAGGCTTCAGTGGCCCACAGCAGGGTTGGTTTCCGCAAATTAAAGAGCTGCTCGGCGAGTATGTGCTTGAGCAGCGAGCGGCACAGGGGCCCCTGACGACAGAACTGCTCCAAGTGCGGGCTATGCAATCTTAGAAAAAGGTCGTAATGCGGAGCCAGTTTAAAGCGAGCAGGTGCTGGCTAACTAACTTTATGAAGAGGAAAGGCTTTTCCTTTCGAAGGGGAACATGCATATGCGAAAAGTTTTGCGGTGGACTACGATGAAAAACTTCACAGTTTTCAGAGGTTCGTTTCTAAACTTGCGGCGCAACAACGGCTGCCTGCTTGGGCACATCGGGAATGCCGATCAGACGCCTCTGTATTTCGACATGCCTGCACACAACCGTCGAGAAGAAGGGGGCGAAGCAAGTTCGCGTGCTGACATCGGTCCATGGTAAACACTACAGTGATGGCAATGCTCTGTTACACGTCAGATTGGCACAAGCTTCGCCCGTACCTCATATTAAATGGAACACGCTCCCGAAAGGAGTCGTTTTTGTCGAGTGGTGTGATCGTGCTGGCCAGCGAGAAAAATGGGTGCGCGTTGCAATCGATGTCTTACGTTTTTCTTTTTTTTTCGCGCTGGGAAATCGGGTGCGCGTTACAATCGAGGGCGCGGTAGAATCGAGTAAAATACGGTAATAGCAGATTTTACCTAAAATTACCAAAATTTATTTCCGACTAAAGCATAAGATAATGTCGCCGAAATCACGAATGTCTTCACTACAGCCGAGTCGAAGAATTCCTCTATAGGCTACACCTGCGCAAGACGTGTTAGCATGCAGTTTCGTGTGTCCGAGAATTGAGGCATGCTATGCTGTGTGTATTCAATTAAAAGAAAAATTAACATAATAAGATTTGCGTTGCAACCAAATGAACGCAAAAAAAAAAGTACGAAAAGAAACAGTCATCCTGAAATTTATGTTGAGGCCATCTAGATTATGCACGTTATCATGAACTGTAATTTATGCTCTAAACGATACCGATCGTTCGATTTACGGGCTCGCACACCATACTTACGACATTGCAGTCGAATTGCGAAACGCCATTAGAGTGTTACAAGAGCCACCCAAGCCTTTTTTCCACCATCCCGCCTTGCCTTTCCTTGAAATAGAGACACCAAGAAGAGATATACCTTGATTCCATACAAAACCACAACTTTGAATGCCCGCCACCACCACCAACAAAGCAACGAACTCTGA